TTCAAATTAATATTGAAAAATTAGAAACTATGGCAAAGTTAAGTACTTTTTATAATTCTAATGCTAAAAAAGAACTTTCATATTTTGCTAATGAGATGACAGAAAAAGAATTATTAGAAATATTAAAACAAACAAATATTAAAACATTTGAAAAAACTTTGAAACGAGAAGGATTTGATAAAGAAAAATTATTATTTACAGATGATTTAGAATCGACTTCAAGTTCAGATTCTTCATCTGAAAGTAATATAAAAACTAAAGAAGATTTAATTTTATTTTTAGAAAATGGTTTAGATTTAGGTGATCATATTTTTATTGATGATTTAGAAAAATTTCCTGATGATAATGATAGTGATAGTGATTATTTATCAGAAAATGATGAAACTACAAACAATAATAATGAAATAAATCAAATTGATGAGCAAGATTATAATTGGAATCCAGAAGATTTACTAATGGCTGATGATGATTAGTAAGTAAAATTTATTAAATATAATATTTTATAATAATTGAAATTTTAATATATTAATATAAATTTTAATTAAATTTTAAATTATAGATACTATGATTTATTGATTCAAGATCTGTATTTTTGTACAATCAATATAATCTATATAATTTTTACATATTGCAAACTCAGTTAACTGTAGTTAACTATAGTTAATCATACAAAAATCAATTTATATGAATTCAAATTTTATTTTGTATAATCCGAATTACGCCAATTCAAATAGTTTATATCGTTAGTAACAATTGAAAATAGAATTAAACTATATGTATAGATATTCTGGTATTTTTCTTTTTTTTTATTTATAAATTTTTTTATTCAATATTAAAATATTTTAAATTTTTAAAATTTAATTTAATTTGCACGCATAATCAAAAATATAAAGCAGTAAGAATGTTTTTGCTGCTCTGTAATTTTTAGAAAATTGATAGCCAATAATATGGGATCTTTGCTAGAAAAATCACCCTTTGGAATTTTCTGATCGGGCCAATTCGGAAAAGCTTAAGCCAGAATGCTGCTTCTTATTCATATATAAATCATCTTTTGCTTTATTGATATGATAGTTTATTAAATAAACTGTTGAACCAGTAAAGTAAAAAAATAGTTTACATATGAATAAGAAGCAGATTTTGGTCTAAGCTTTTCTGAATTGGCCTGATTGGAAAATTCCGAAGGGTGATTTTCCTAGCAAAGATCCCATATATTATAATTCATGTTTCTTGCTAACTTCCCAATAGGCCACTTTTTATTAAGATCCGATCAATTCACTGACAATCACAACATAGATGCCACATTTCACCACTAACAAGCTCATTTTACTGACAGCCTATTTCACTAAAGTTCGTTTCAAAAAGTCCATCCTGTTAGTGAAAGAGCTTCAGTAAAATAGACTGTCGGTAAAATGAACTTGTTGATAATTTCATGAAATGTGGTGTCTATGAAGTGATTGTTAGTGAAATAATATGGATCTCTTTTTATTAAGTTCTTATTTAGATTAATTTAACTGGCAAGTATAACAGTAGTTATAATAACCAATGTATAACCTCTTATTAATTTATTATCAGCTCTAATTTGTCATTTATTCAAGTTTATTTAGCCAATAGGCAATGATTAATTTTTAATCGAAAACACTGAAATATGTAAAATAATCTGTTTATTTATGCTAATTTACTTAATTGATAAATCCCTTTTTATTAAGTTGCATTAAGCTTTTTATTAAAACTAATCTAAGTATAAATTATATAGCCCTTTGTATAGCTGTTAAACGAAACTTCGAAGCTCCACACTGACGAAATGTGAAACCTAGTTTCGTCTTTCGTCAATTAAAATCTTAATTGACAAATGACGAAACTGACAAAGGTGACAAAACTGCAAGGGTGACAAAGACGAATATACAAATAAATATTGCTGAAAATCGTTGATTATGTGTATAAAAAAATCAACTAATAAAAAGTTTACAAAAAATTTTATTGTATAGTAGGTATTTGATCTTAAATTTATTTTGTTTTTAATTCGTTATTTGTGTTATTCCATGAGTAAATACTATGGCTTTTTGACAAGGTTATTTCAACCGGTCTATAACAACCCTGGCGTTGTCCAGAAAAATGAACTGGTTTATTTTTGTTGGCATATATGTAACTTCGGATACTGATCTCTGAATAAATTATAGTTTCTTTACCTTTTGCCACCTTTCGCCAGTTTCGACACCTTTCGCCAGTTTCGACACCTTTCGCCAGTTTCGACACCTTTCGTCAGTTTCGACA